TTTCCCTAATTAATATTATCCTGAATTTGATGTTAGCCTTGATCATTTTTTTTCAATCAAGGTGGATACTTAATCATAGAAGTTTGTATCTATGAGATATCTTCAATCAAATGAATAGGACGAAACATCCATGTAGTGCTTTATTTAATATGCAGTTTGCCTTCTTAAAAATTAACTTGGAATCACTTGACAGGATGGGGATTCTTAAGAGCTTGCATAGAGGTGAAGAAAAAGATTGGTAAAATTTGAGGAGTTGGTATAAACTTAATAAAAATATTTCTTTCTTAATTTTTGCAGCTAGAGGTGCAAGTGAACCGAGCTGTTGAGCTGGACTCACTGATGAGTTTGTGAGTTGAGCTTATTAATCCAGAAGCTCAAGCTTGAGCTCATATATTAAACGAGCTCGAGTTCAAGCTCATTGAGCCTCAACTCGCCAGCTCGAGAGCCAACTCACGTATCTAAATGTTGATTACCCCTTTAGAAAGCTCTCATGGCAATTTCTATTTCTCGTCAATCACATCAATACCTTCTTTGATGAGCTCTTATTACAGCTTCATTAGCCAGAGCTCACAAGCTTGTGAGCCTGTTGTCATTGTTGTGAGCTGAACGTGCTTTGGCTCGACTCAATACTGTTATCTTTTATTTTTTCGGACAGGGTGAACACTTGAACACGGCACTTTGAAATTCTTCATTTTTTTTTCCAACCAAAACGTTGTATGTTTGAGCGCTCAACTCGTTTACACCCCTATTTGCAACCAAATCTACTTGTTTCCATGACAAAATTTCTATCTATCGAGAAACCTTCCTCTCTACAGCATCATGAACAATGAAAGTATGGAGCAAAAAAGAAATATAAAGTTGAAATCCTGATGAGAGTTGGAGAACTTATAGGGAAGAGGGGTGATGCCAATAGAGAGTATTTTAATACCCGCAACAAATTCTTGAAGAGCGGAAAAATGGAGTGCTTCTTCCTGTAGAGACACACTTCCATGTGGAAAAAAGAATGAAAACAAAATCCGGGATTCAAACTAATAGTCAAATGTAGTTCAACTTTATTAGTCTGCCAAAATCTTCCAAATTTTTATTTCTATTTTGAGCTAATCCAAACTAGGAGAATTTTCTGAAAAAAAAAAAATTAAGGGGCATCTACATACATACCACCGAATTATTATGTATTTACATATCTGATACCTAAATTATAATTTTCTACATTCATGCCATCCAAATCTTTCACATCACAAAAAATACCATTTTTAACTTTTAAAAAGTGAATACACTTCATGCATGCGTAAGGTGGCATGCATTTAAAAATTGAACGTTAAGGGTTAGATATGCAAATACATAGGAATAAGTGGTATGTTTGTAAATCTACCTAAATTTAAATGCCGATTCAAGAATTTAACTGAAAGATACCAAAAGACTTATGAAATAAGATATAATAAATCCAGACAAGAAATTTTTCCAAAGTAACACTAAATTGCTTTGGTACCAAGATGCTTATTCAGGCAAAGCAACAATATAAGACTAACTAATCATTCTTATAAGCAGTTAATAACCAAACAACATTTTTGAAAGTCAAGTTTCAAGACACTTGCACCACAAAATTTTTCACGTTTTCAAAATTAGATAATCAGGTTCTAAACATTTATGTTACAGAAATGTCATCAAACTTTTCTTTCATTTATCTTTCTTACAAATTGCATATTTTTAATGAGCAAAGGCATATTAGGTGTAACGTTTAAAATTACAAAAACTAATGGAGCATTTGCAAGCATACAACCCAATTCTTATGTATCTACCTATCTAATACCTAAATTTTGCTTTTTATATTACTAACACCCAAGTTTTCATATCACATTTAAAAAAAACCACTATCTTAACTTCTAAAAGATGAAATACACCTTTTCATGCACATGTAAGGTGGCATATATGTAAAATTGATATATAGGTGTCAGATATGTAGAAACAAAGGAATTGAGTGGTATGTATGTAAATCTTCCAAAACTAAAATAACAAATTTATAAATAAGCTTATGGGTTAAGGACGCCTACCGGTAATCAATCACATGCGACTGTGTAGAATCCAAGAGCCGATAAATATAGATAGAAGAAACAATACCGCGCTTTCTCTGGAGAAGGCGAACTCTTTCAAGCTCAAAGATGTTGTGACCTGCTTCAGCACCTTCTGAAACTGAGTTCGTGTATCTTCGATAGAACCAGAGTTATCAATAACAATATCGGCCTTCGTCTTCTTCCAGTCCAATGAAGTCTGAGCATCAATCTTGTTTCTCGCCTCCTCTTCCGCTCTATCCATTAGCCGCTGCAGCTGCGTTTCAGGATTTACCCATACGACGATAATAGGCTTCGTCATTCGATCCATCTTAGCTTCAAATAATAATGGGATGTCAAGTACAATGACTTTATATCCCTTAAGCCAAAGCTTCATAATTTCCCAGAATATACCATAAGATATATGTGGAGCTAATAGACTGCATGAAGGTATTTGTTTAACTATGTAAGAAAGCAAGAAATGAGGTTGGCATCAAATTAAAGAGAAAAGAGAGGCTACTAAAATAGATGCAGAACCTAAGCATTTCAATTCTTATAAGTTATATCATATTACTCATCAATATTTTTTAATGAAGTCTGGTGAAATCTACTCACGTTAGGAAAACATGAGAATGGCAAAAAGTTGAATAACTAATAGGCATATAATAATAGTTTATACAAGAATAAGTTGGAAAATGAATTTCATTCTGCTCCTTAATTTCTTGTTAGAGCTCCTTAATTTCTTTTATAAAAACCGGTAAATTCAATGTTAGAGCTCCTTAATTTCTTTCAAAGATTCAGTTAAAATCTATCAAGATGTTAGAAAACTCAATAGAGAAGCACTAAAATAATGTCGATTGAACAATCTTCTCATTAACGACTTTGCAATAGATATCTTAATGTCTACACCTATTATTTTCAATCCCGCCATTGTCTTATAATCAACCTTGGCATAATCAGGTTTGGATAAAAAATTTGAGCGTTGATACTAATTGCAAGAAAAATATGAGTATTGCTTACCGAGGAAGAGGTGATGGAAATAAACTTACAAATGCAACAAAACTACAAAACAGAAAAGAAAAAGGGCAATTTACAGATATACCACAAATTCTTATATATTTAAATATCTAACACTTAAAGTTTGATATTTACACTTATAACTAAGGCTGTCAAAAAAGCTTGTGGTTCGCCAACAGCTCGTATTCAGTTTGCTAAGTAGCTCGTGTTCAAACCGTTCGTTAAGTCAATGAGTTGAACAAGGGCAAATTTTTTTAACTCAAATTATAAATAAGTCGAACATAAACAAACTTTTATTCGATCGTGCTCGGCTCGTTTCAGCTCAAAATAAAGAAATTATATATATTATTTATCTAATAATATATTATTTATATAATAATATATTATATATATTTATATCTAAGTTTAAATTATAGCAGCTAGTGAAGTCATGTGGTTCTACGCCTTTGATTATACAGAATTGGTGTAAGTTTGAATCTAACAACCTACATCTATTTTTCTAATTAATTTAAACAAGTCAATTTCGAGCCGAACAAAAGTCAAAATGTATAAGAATATGTAAATCGAGTCGAACCCCAACAGCTGTTCACAATCAATTTCTAACACAAGCCAATTTTTGAAAGAGTCAAACACGAGCCAAACCAAAGTTTGCCCAAGCTCTACTCGTTTACAACCCTACTTATAACATCTTGATATCATAAATCTATGCAATTAAAAAAAATAATCATAGTGTTATTTTTTATCATTGTTAGGTAGTCGACAACAAGCATAAAATTTATCGAAAAAATCATGACATGAATCATTTTGATCATTGTGTAAGTACTAGGGCGTCTCCTGGAAGCGACGCGCTGTACAATCTGAATACAGTGAAAGTGTGCAAGGGCCGCTACACCGACGCCCTGATGTAGTGTCAAATAAACAAGAGTTCTCACATTACGAACGGATGCGGATAAAGAAGTTAGTTCATGAAACTAATGAAACTAATGAAATTAATATTAAGATAGGATCTTAGAATATAGGTACTCTCAATGAAAAATTAATGGAATTTGTTGATATTATGATTCATAGAAAGATTAATATCTTATGTATTCCTCTTAGATATTCAAGAAACTAAATGGGTTGGAGAAAAGGCTAAGAAGATTGATAACTTAGGTTTTAAACTTTAGTATTCGGGTAAGTGTGACACTAGAAATGGTTTAGGAGTAATTATAGATAAGAGTTTGAAAGATAATGTTGTAAAAATTAATAGAGTTGAAGATAGAATTATAGCCCTTAAGATTATCATTGATATTAAGATTTTTAATATTATAATTGTTTATGCTCCTCAAGTAGGTTTAGATATAAGGTCTAAATATAAATTCTGAAATGACTTAGAAGACTTAATATAAATGATAACTCCTGAAGAAAGAATTTTTATTGGAGATTTAAATGGACATGTCTGTAGTGGTAGAAGATTTCAGAAATATTCATGGTGGCTACGGTTTTGGAATGACTAACGAAGAAAGTAGAGTTATTTTAGATTTTTCTTTAGTGTATGATTTTGTAATTATTAATAATTTATTCAAGAAAAGATATGAGCATCTTATTACTTATAAGAATGGATCTAATAAAATACAAATTGATTATTTTCTTATGGGAAGAAGATATCGTCGAGATTGTTATGATTGTAAGGTCGTTCCAAATGAGGATTTAAGTACCTAACATCGTTTATTCTAGATTTTAAGATAAGAGTTATAAAATAAAGAATACTATGACTCGTCATCTTAGAATAAGGTGGGGGAACCTAAAAGACAAATAAAATTATTTTTATGAGTAAAATTTAATATTTCAAATTTTATAATGTTCATGATGAAGCAAATGCTATGTGAGATAAAGTAACAAATACTATTAAACAAGTAACAAAAGATGTACTTGGTGAATCAAAAGAAAAAGTTTCTTTAAATAAAAATAGTTGGTGGTGGAATAATAATGTGCAAGAAAAGATAAAATATAAGAAGTTATATTATAAAAATCGGTTTAAATGTAAAAGCATAGAAAACTGAAAAAAAATATCAAATTGCCCGCAGGAAGTCTAAAAGAACAATTTTTAACGCTAAAAATTTTATTTTTAATGATCTTTATAATAAATTAGATACTAAGGAGGGTGAAAAATATATGTATAAACTAGCCAAAGAAAGAGAAAATAAAGGTAAAGATTTAACTCAAGTAAAGTGTATTAAAGATAAAAATAAAAAAGTGTTTTTCTCAGAAAAAGATATTCAACATAGGTGAATGAATTATTTTGATAAACTTTTTAATGAAGTTTCTGAAAATACGATCGACTTAAGTGATCTTTATATCGTTAATAATAATAAAGCATTTCATTTTTACTGTCGCATTAGTAAAAAAGAAGTTGAGGAGACTTTAAAGAAAACCAATGGTGGGAAGTCTGTAGGACCTGATAATATCTCAAATGAAGTATGGAATTATTTAGAAGACTTGGGAGTTTCTTGGCTTACTAAACTCTTTAATACTATTTTAAAACTAAAAAAATGTCTGAGGAGTGGAGGAAGAGCATCTTGGTCTCCATTTTTAAGAATAAAGAGGATGCACAAGAGTGTGCAAATTATAGAGGAATTAAGTTGATGTGTCATACATTAAAATTATGGGAGAGGGTAATTGAACATAGGTGACGACATATTACAAAGATTTCTCATAATCAATTTGGATTTATGTCTGGCAGATCTACTATGGAAGTTATACATTTATTAAGAGGTTTGATGGAGAAATTCAGAGATAATAAAGAGAATTTACATTTTATTTTTATTGATTTAAAAAAAACTTAAGGTTCCAAGAGATATCCTTTGGAGAGTTCTTGAGAAGATAGGTGTTGTCATTAAAGATATGTATACTAGAACTGTTACTTGTGTTCGAATTAAAGAATGATTGACCAAATATTTTCCTATTTTTGTTTGTTACATCGGGGATCGGCTTTAAGCCCTTATCTTTTTGCTTTAGTTATGGATGTTCTTACTGGACATTTACAGGAGGATGTACCTTGGTGTATGCTTTTTGCTGATGATATCCTTCTCGTGGATAAGACGAGAGAAAAAGCCCATGAAAACTTGAATTATGGAGGTCTACATTGGAGTCTAAAGGCCTTCATTTGAGTAGAACTAAAGCTGAATAGATGGAATGTAATTTTAGTAGTACTAGTAGCTCTAGTGACAAAAGTGTCACTTTGGGTGATCAAATTATTAAAAAGTGTGAATGATTTAGATATTTTGGGTCTGTTGTTCAAAGCAATGGTGATATAGATGGGGATGTTAATAGTAAAATTTGAGTTGGTTGGTTGAAGTGGAGGAATGCTTCGGGTCTTTTGGGTGATAGAAAAGTATCGCTTAGACTGAAAGGAAAATTTTATAAGACGGTGGTAAGACCTGCAATGCTCTATGGCGTTGACTGTTGGCCTTTAAATGAGAAGCATAATACTAAGTTAAGTGTTGCCAAGATGAGAATGATTAGGTGGATGAGTGGTTTTACACTTAGAGACAATGCGAAATGAATATATCTGTGATAGGGTTGGTGTGGCTCCTGTGACGGACAAAATTAGATAAAGTCGTCTTAGATGGTTTGGTCACATTAAGCGTCGGACATCTGATGATCTGATTAGGAGAGTAGAAGTTTTAGATTCGACTTATGTTAAGAAAGGCAGAAGTAAATATAGGAAAACTTGGGCTTATTGTATAAAAAATGATCTTAATTTATTAGAACAAAATGAAAATATGACACTAAATAGAACGCGATGGAGAAAAGGATTCATGCAACCGACCCCACGTAGTGAGATTAAGGCTTTGTTGTTGTTGTTGTTGTTGTTTTTGATGTCCCCTTAAAAAGGAAGCAAGTGAGGTGATTAAAATGGTAATGCCCTGCAAAACTAATCTACAGCCACTAAATCATAAATGTTCCCTAAATATTTGTAATTTCTACTTTTCATTGAAACAAAATATATGAAAATAGTGGCATGCATACCGGTTCAGAAGTTGACGTTTTGCTACATCAGAAAAAACAATCTGTCCAAGGCGTGATCTATCGATCTCTCCATTTTCTAGCAAAATATCATCTCCAAATGCAGCACCAACCTTTCTCCATCCAGGTGTCCCTTTTTTTACAACATCCTGCAATGCAGCAGTTTCCACTAATAGTTAAATACAAAAACTATATTGAAATTTGAGAGAAGAAAATTCTTAATGCCGCAAAGTTTAGGTTTAACAATGTATTGAGAAATGTTAAATTTTGTTCAGTGGTTTCAAATTTACATTTATGAAATACATAATCTAGGGAATGAAATCTTTAAGGGGCTGTCTGGTAACGTAGTTAAGTCATCTTTAACTTAAATCTTGCAAGGCAAAAAAAATGGCAACATTTAAATCCAAGATTTAGTAAATCAAGATTCTTCTCGATTTCTTTTCAGTTTTTCTTTATATCCCAGATTTACTTAATCTTGGTGTTGGCAGAATTCAGTAAATCCGAATTGAAGAAATTACTAAATTCGATACCAAACAGCACCTAAAGGATATTTCTGGCATATAACCGCAGTGCCCTTATGCCAACAGGTTATGAAACAAAAGAACAGAACTTCTATTTATAAGCCAAAACAGGTCAACTAGATTTCACTTTTCCAGCAAAATTCTTACAAAAACTTATCATTAATTTGTCAGAAAACACGCATAAACAGTATTGATGCTTGCATTCCCCAACAGCTATGGAGCCCCTCGATGGAGTAAGGATTGGTTTCAAATTTTTAGAATGACGTTGACATTTTAAGGAATATTAAGAACTAGCGTACTTGCAAAACAATGTGTATTAAAGATGAAAATTAAAAGTATTTTTCTTAAGAGGAAAATATTCAATATAGGTGGATAAGCTATTTTGATAAAGGTTTCAATAAAGTTTTTAAAAATACATTGACCTTAGCGATCTTAATATCGTTAATAATAATAAAATATTTTATTTTTACCGCAAAATTAGTAGAAAAAAGTTAAGGTAGCTTTAAAGAAAACCAAAGACGGAAAATCAATAGGACCTGATGATATCCCAATTAAAGTGTGAAAATATTTAGGAGATTTGGGAGTTATTTGACTTACTAAACTCTTTAATATTATTTTAAAAACTAAAAAGATGTCTGATAAGTGGAGGAAGAGTATTTTGGTCCCCATTTTCAAGAATAAAGGATCAATATGAGGGTGCAAATTATAGAGGAATTAAGTTGATGTGTCATAATTTAAATTTATGGGAGAGGGTAATTGAACATAGGTTAAGGTGTGTTACAAAGATTTCTCATAATGAAGTTGGATTTATGTCGGGCAGGTTAGCTATAGAAGCTATACATTTAATGAGATGTTTGATGGAGAAATACAGATAAAATAAGGAGGATTTACATATGATTTTTATTAATTTAGAAAAAGCTTACGATAAGGTTCTAAGAGAAGTTCTTTGGAGAGTCCTATAGAAGAAAAATGTTTATATGACTTATAATCAAGTCATTAAAAATATGTATACTAGAATTGTTACTTGTGTTTGAACAGAATGAGGATTGACCAAGTATTTTCCTATTTCAGTTGGATTACATCCATGATCGACTTTAAGCTCATATCTTTTTGTTTTAGTTATGGATGCTCTTATTGGACATTTACAGCAGAATGTACCATGGTGTATGCCTGCTTTTTGCAGATGATATCCTTTTTGTGGATAAGAGTAGACAAAGAGTTTAGGAAAAACTTGAATTATGGATGTCTACATTGGACACTAAAGGCCTTTGTTTGAGTAGAACTAAAACTGAATATATGGAATGTAATTTTAATAGAAGCCCTAGTGCCAGAGTTGTAAATATGGGTGATCACATCATTAAAAGTATAAATATTTTAGATATCTCTGGTATAATGTTCAAAGTGATGGTGATATAGATGGGGATGTTATTAGTGGAATTCAAGTTGGTTGGTTGAAGTTGAGGAATGCATCGAGCCTATTGTGTGATAAAAAGTATCTCTTAGACTGAAAGGAAAATTTTATAAGATAGTGGTGAGACTTGCAATGCTCTATGGTGCAAAATGTTGACCTTTAAAAGAGAAACATAAAACAAAGTTAAGTTTTGCTGAGATGAGACAACTCAGGTGGATGAGTGGCTTGACACTTGAGACAGAATCCGAAATGAAAATATCCATGATAGGGTTGGTGTAACTCCAATGGTGGACAAGATTAGAGAGAGTCGTCTTAGATGGTTTAGTCACATTAAACGTCGAGCATCTGAAGATCCGGTTAGGAGAGTAGATGTTTTAGATTCGCCTTATGTTAAGAAAGACAGAGGTAGACCTAAAAAGACTTGGGCATATTGGATAAAAAATGATCTTAACTTATTAGAATTAAATGAAAATATGACACTCAATAGAATGCAATGGAGAAAAAAGATTCATGTAGCCGACCAGACTTAGTGGGATAAAGGTTTGTTGTCGTTGTTGTTTTAGTGTACTTGTGGAATGCATTAACATGTTTGGTGAACTTTCACTATAAAGAATAGGGTATGAAATTCTAAAGGAACAAAAAAAGAGTATACAGCTCCATACAAAAAAGTAGAGCTTCTCCTGTCTCCGTACTGCACTATTTCTCACTCAAAGCTTCATATAGCATAGGTAAACTTTCAGCTCTCTCATATAAATTGGAATCTTCTCACTTTACATGACATTAGTTATATCATAAGAACAAGTAAGATGGCAAAGGATTGTTATTGCGATCCAACTAGGACTCCAAAAATATTGTTCTTGTTGTTTACAGCAAGAAAGAAGAAGATTTGAGAGGGGAAGTCATCAATAGCATGAAATACTGTGCAAGATAATTTTATTTGACTAATACAACAAAAGAAACCTCAAAAAAATTAAAAAAAAAACATAGAACTCCTTGAATTTGTTCAAACCTCTCATTGCAGGCTTACGCAAAGGTTGGTTACTGATCAGACTTGAACTCCCAATGCAGGCTTACGCAAAGGTTGCTTATAGATCAGACTGACGAGTAAATAAGGAGAGGAGAGGAGGAGGAGGGGGGTGTGCGGGGAGAAGCCAAAAGGCATTTTTTTCCTGCTTTGGGTAGATGATGCGTGGAAGGAGGGAGGGCCTGAGATCAAGTTATCAGTTTATATTCATACTCTAAACGATTACATGCAATCTCCATTCTCCATTATACAGAGATTCAAAAAAAAGTTTAGAAAATACTTCAAATTCCAAACTATAATAGAAATAAAAACTAGCCCTCCAAAACATCAACCTAAATTTAAAACCAATAAATGAATACAAAATTAGAAACTACCACTAAAGATATGAAAAATACTCAAAATCTCTCAAAATCCTCCTTTATTTGGCTGTCTAATTGAGTTTGAAAATAATTGGTTGCTATTTTGATGTAAAACTCCACAATTTAAGCCTTTATTCAAAAACTTAAAATGCAAAATCACTTTTATGGAAGCCAACCAGGCTAGATTTTTGTTTATCCATATCAGCTCCATCCAGAATATTCTCTTAATCTTCTATATACTCCTAGAAAACTTTTGGACATCCTAGCAATCTCCTAGAAGCTTCTCCCCTATTTTTCGAAATTTTGAAAAAAAAACCATAAGTTTCTGGAATTGTGATCCTCTTAGATCACTAGCTATAATTAATAATGCTTAAATCATTCTATTATTTGGTAATTTTTATTTGGTCCATATTGATGCCTTACTAAGATATAATGGCGCCTACAAGAGTCACAAAGCTCATTGACCAATAGCAAAATTATGGTCCCTTCTCAATGTGTGCAGAGGTGAAAACAAGCTCGGTGTTTGTTCTTATTCGGCTCATTTAAATTTTTTTTTGGCTCAAATGGGCTTGTGTTAGACATGGCTTGTGAATAATATGTTTTTATTCAACTCAATTTAAATTTTTTTATTCATTTGCTACTCGTGTTCAGCTCAAATTTAGATTGAATGGTTTAAATAATAATATATTTTAACATTTTTTTAGTGCAACATAAGAAAACAATATAATAAGCTTATAATAAATAATGTTTATTTAATTATTTAACTAATTCAAATTAAAATGATAAAATTTTGTTCGTGTACTAAAGATTAAAGTCAAAAAATGCTTTTATTAAATGAAGATATTCAAATAGGTGGGTGAGTTATTTTGATAAACATTTCAATGAAGTTTCTGAAAATATAATCGACCTTAGTAATTTTAATATCGTTAATAATAATAAATTGTTTTATTTTTACTGACGCATTAGTAGAAAAGAAAATAAGGATGTTTTAAGGAAAATTAAAGGCTGAAAATCAGTAGAACCTGATAATATCCCAATTGAAGTATGAAAATATTTAGGAGATTTGAGAGTTTCTTGACTTATTAAAATCTTTAACATTATTTTAAAAACTAAAATGATGCCTAAGTGGAGGAAGAGTATTTTGGTTCCCCTTTTTACGAATAAAGGGAATGCGCAAGAGTGTGCAAATTATAGATGAAATAAGTTGATGTGTCGTACTTTAAAATTATAGAAGGGGTAGTTGAACATAGAGTAAGACGTGTTACAAAGATTTCTCATAATCAATTTGAATTTATGTCGGGCAGACTTACAACGGAAGCTATACATTTTTTTGCGGTTTGATGTAGAAGTACAAAGAGGATCTACGTATGATTTTTATTAATTTAGAAAAAGCTTACGATAAGGTTACAATAGAAGTCCCTTGGAGAGTTCTAGAGAAGAGATCTGTTGATATGACTTATATTCAAGACATTAAAGTTATGTATACTAGGGTTATTACTAGTGTTTGAACAAAAGAAGGATTGACCAAGTGTTTTCCTATTTTAGTTGGATTACATTAGGGTTCGTCTTTAAGCTCATATCATTTTGCTTTAGTTATGGATGCTCTTATTGGAAATTTGTTAGAGGATGTACCTTGGTGTATGATTTTCACTGATGATATCATTCTTGTGGATAAGACCATAGAAAGAGTTCAGGAAAATTTTGAATTATTGAGGTCTACATTGGAGTCTAAACGTCTTCATTTGAGTAGAACTAAAACCAAATACATAGAATGTAATTTTAGAAGCAGTAGCTCTAGTGGAAGACTTGTAAATATGGGTGATCAAATCATTAAAAAGTGTGAACGTTTTATATATCGGGTCTATTGTTCAAAGTGATGGTGATATAGATGAGGATGTTATTAGTAGAATTCAAATTGGTTAGTTGACATGGAGGAATGCATCGAGTCTATTGTGTGATAGAAAAGTACTGAAAGGAAAATTTTATAAGATAGTGGTGAGGCTTGCAATGCACTATGGCTCAGTCTATTGGCCTTTAAAAGAGAAGCATAGAACAAAGTTAAGTGTTGCTAACATGAGAATGCTTAGGTGGATGAGTGGCTTGACACTTGGAGACAAAATGTGAAATGAATACATCTGTGATAGGGTTGGTGCAACTCCAGTGGCGGACAAGATTAGAGAGAGTCTTCTTAGATGGTTTGGTCACATTCAACATTGACCATCTGATGATCTGGTTAGGAGAGTAGAAGTTTTATAATCGACTTGTTAAAAAAGACAAAAGTGGACCTAAAAAAACTTGGTCATATTATATAAAAGATGATCTTAATTTTGTTAGAATTTAATAAAAATATGACACTTAATAGCACTCAATGGAGAAAAAGGATTCACGTAGTCTACACCACTTAGTGGGATAAAGACTTCTTGTTGTTATTGTTGTTGGCTACTTTATAAATTGATCTTCAAATAATTGTTTGTGTTCGACCCACTTCTTAACAAAGAAAGTGAACATGAAATATATAGCGAGTCAAACACGAGTTGTTCGCGAACAACCAAATTTTTTGATAGCCCAAGTTGTGTGTTCATGTTCTAGACTTACTTGGCATAAGAAAAGATGCTCATATCAATTTCCCTTGCTAGCACGAGAGATACCATATAGAGGCGGAACCTCTTAATGTATCATTGTACATTGGACGGCATCTTGTAGTTTCAAGGATTCTACTTAGCATTAAGGACTTATTGTTAATGCTTTCACCTTTTTTGCTCTTCAAAAACATAAAATATTACTAATTTGACTCGCATATGGAAGATCCAATAAAATGCTTATACCACTTCCATGTCTCGCAACCATGACATCATAAATGCAAATTAATTTGCCCATTTGTATGAGAGTATCAACAAATTTATTTCAAACTAAATAATTCAATAATTCATCAATAAATAAAACTTAAGAAGGCATTATAGAACATAATCAAGAATGATGGTTGCCTCTATACATACCAATAGCATAAAATAGCATGCACTGTAACCCATAACATAGTGTAGCATGCTTCCAACCATATTTATATAAAAAAGGTAACAAAACAAATAAGTATGCACTATTTGTGCTAAAGAACAAAATGCACAAGGTGTGAGCTATCGTTTTTTATTTTCTAAGTTTATTAATTTATTCAATTATTTGTATGAATAAAAAAAATTAATTAGAGATAAAAGTCATAAGATAATATATGATGAGAGTATTTTCATTATTAAGTTCAAATATCATGAAAATGTATTTGTTCCACAATTTTATTAAAGCAACATAAGAAATCTATAAAAAGTAAGCATCTTAATCCTCCATTTACATGCAAGATTTTAGCCTATCGTACTCAAATGCTATATGGTAATCTGCCAGAAAAATCTCTTAGAATATTAATACATCTATCTTTGTTACTTTTGGATGAGAACAAAGCTTGTTGTATGTTTTACTTTCTTCATGCTTCAACTATTTTCTTTGTATCTTTCTTTTTCCCTAAAACCTCTAAACATTTATTAATCCCCTTGCTCTTTCCTTGTAGCTAAAACAACTTGCCTCTTCTCATATGCTCTTATTATACTCTCTAGCATATGGATATGAGTACTTCGGATGCACTTTACAAGTATAAATATAATCATATATGATGAATAAACTATGACATCTTTTCAAAGATTAAAATATACTACACTCAAGATTTCATTGACCATGACCGAAGGGCAAATGCTTATCCATCCATTTTCCCCTCTAAAGTTGATATATGATTTACCTTTTTGTTGTTTCTCTGTCATTAGTTATTATAATTGAATTCTTGAATACATGAACACAAAGAGGTTGATGAAGGATGATTTCTGAAGGTAAAGTCATGGATCAAAGATGTTTGATATTGGATTTGTATGATTTCAATTAACTTATTCAAACCAATAATTAGTATTTAGTCATGTTCTTCTCAAGTTGATTGCAACTATTTCATACCCTTATTGCTTCAACTCTCTATTCCCACAACCCATCAAACTTCGCTGAATTATATAATGTTGTGAACTCTTAAGATGTCATTATAGAACTTATATGATACTAGTAAATTCATATTAACATTTGGTGCACCTATTTCATATGTTATCGCCACCATTTGGTCATATAAATGTGTTATAGATTAATTTCATGGTTTTGTTGATGGACAATATTAGAAAGTAACTAGAAAGTCAAATAAAATGAAAGTTTTTGAAAATCAAGGGATCAAAGTGCAAGTTGCTTCAAAAGTTAAGAAAATAATTAAAATTTATGCATTTGTAAAAACAAAACATTTAGCATGGTAAGAGTTCCATAAGCACATATCATAAAATTCATAAAATTAGACTCTCTCAAATTCAAGGGTAAAGCCACATACATCAAGCCCCTCTCACGACCCATATTAAAGGAAGCATCATGTGCAAGCTATACACTTCCATAATTTTAAATGGCCATCCCTTCAAGTGAAAACATGTAATTTTTAAAATATGATCTTATATCAACTTTCTTGTTCATCCTTCAAAGAAAATCTTCATTTTTATCATCATCTTGAGCATTATTCCAACATTTTTTTTTTATTGACTGATTCCAACTATTAGGAGCCAGCTATTTAATTCCTTCCGCACTCAGTCCTATCAACATGAGGCCCTGAGTCCTACGTCTAGTCATGGCAACTTCGGCCTGCCTCTTTTCCTTTACATTTCATCCATATGCCCATCCTGTTAGCTCATCTCCTATTTCACCCAAATCCATGAAATATAGAAGCAAAGAAGAACGGTGTCAATAATTCCACATAAAAAGCAAATAGACCAGTTTTAGAATCGAATTGGGTATGGCGCATTGGAACATGAAGAGGGAAAGGAAAGGAGGGCCATACCCTAGCGACAAGATCGGCGTCCACGACAGGGACGCCGCTGGATCTAAAGAGAGCAGAAACCGTGCTCTTTCCTGAGGCGATCCCTCCCGTCAATCCGACGATCCTCATATTCGTCTCGCTGCCTTTCACTCTCCACCACCAAGTAGCCGATGGCGGTCAATCAAAGTTCAGCCCCGGCGGCGTGTTTGACTGGAACGAGGGGCAGACACGAAATTGTTGTAGAAAAATTATTGTAAATGGTGTCCCATCAGGATGTATTTTGATTTTTCCCACTTAAATTTTTTTTTTTAAAAAAAATTTAAATACACCATAACCGTAGATAGGGCTGTCAAAACGGCTCGTTGTTCGCGAACAGCTCGTGTTCGACTCGTTATGAAGCTCGTGTTCGGCTCGTTAATTTTGCTCGATAAGTTAGCGAGCCGAACACGAACTAAGATGTGTTCG